GTACACCTTTGGTGTACCCCTAGCATTTTTCTTTTTATTATTATTATTACGGAGTATTATTTTGCTTGAAAAAGAAAAAGAGGTTTTTTACTGGTGTGGAGTATTCAAATTGAGAGTGGGGGGGGGGGGGGCAACCGACAAAGTCCACATCGTCCCAAACATTGAATCCGCGTGAATGTGTAAAGAGAGAGTGGAGCGGAGCGGGTTTATGTTAATTTAATTGGCGCTGATGACACGTGGGAGAATATGGGAGTCGTGTTTTATGACGGAACGGAGGAAACGGTGACGCCTTTCCTCGGGAGCAGTAAGTAAAATGTGAAGCCACGCATGTGAAAATAAATTTGGGTTTTCAACGCAAATGGGTAACGTGAATTCTGGGGCGATCTGATTCTGAAAGGGAAGGGAAGGCCGGCCCCACCCCCACCCCTCCCCCTATTTCGTCACGTTATCTTCGTGTCTACTCCTCCCAAATTTATTCCCCTCATCTTTCTCTCAAGGTAGGCTACCATTCAACCATGTAGGGAGGGATACATGGACTTCATCCCGAAATACATCGGGGATATTTTAATAGTTCCCACTGACTTAAAGTATTAGTTCAATCAAAATTTTTTACATAAAATGTTGGTGCATACTTCCGAGATACAAAATGCGGTACCACTTTATGATAATTGATTGATTCTTTTTATAATATTATACTCCTCTTTCTGAAAAGGATTTTTATTTTGATTAATGACTAAAATATAATTAGTTGTGTATATTTATAATTGATTTTCCATTTCTTGGGGAGCGGGGAGGGGGAAACTTTGAACAGACTAGTTACTCCAATTCGGAATATTAGTCATGAGAAGATTCTTTTCAAGGATAACTCTAATATCCTCGGGAGGTTTTAGGAACTTAACTTACTCACATCTTTTTCTCGGTGCCACCTTTGCAAGTCAATTAGCACCGCACACAAATGAGCTCTCGGGGCTCGTATGGCTTAGTGCAGCCTTTAACAATAATTTCATATTGTTCCAAGATGTTAGACAATAATATCAATCTTAATTATTGTAGTATTAGTTATAACAGCCTTTATGTTTTAGTCAGCTACTATTCTTATTTCCTAGTCCTAGTTGGGGTTGTATTCCCTTTCTATATATTCTATCATGTACTCCATTATCTTTTGAATAATACAGTTGTTTCAATATCTCAATATGGTATCGGAGCCACCACTTTTGGTGACCTAAAAGAGTTCTTTGCTTCCACTGCCGTCACCTGTAATTCCGGCGGCGATGGCTCCACCACTATTTTCTTTTCTTTCTTTTATCCTTAAAACAACTTCCTCATTCAAATGAAAAAAAAGAAAAAAAAACCCGTTGTCACACAAAAAAATTATTAAAAGAGGAACTTCTCTCTTGTCATCTCCATGGTTCTTTAAAATAAACCCCCTAACTCTTCACAAACCCTCTCAACCCATCCTTGTATCTTCTCAAAATCATGGGAAAAAATGATAGTTGTTTCTCTACAATTCACTAGAAGACTGTGTCAGTCGAAATATAATCAGGAAGTGGTCACGATCGGGGCAGACCCCGATTTGGCAGCAGCCGATAAGGAAGCCGGCTATGTGGCGGTGCGACTTCGGAACCAGTTGGCAAGGGAGGAAGTCAAAATGGTGGAAGAATTTGACAACCAGCGGGTGAAGAGGGAAGCGAAATCCATACTCAAGGGATTTGATATGGATCGCGAAGAAACTCGAAGGAGCGTCGTAGACAGAGTCCTCGGGAGTGGGACGACACACAAAGACACCGGGACATGCGACGAAACGCATCGCTTTGCGATACTCGTCGCTCGTCAGGTCACATTTTTGCGCACGGATGACCGAGTCCCCTGGGGCCGTTCGCTTCTAGTGGCGGGGCTTGACGGCCCGCGGGAGCTCACCCGCCACTATCTCCTTGAGAGAGGGCGAGCTCGGTTGACTCCCTTGGTTAGTGTGCCGAGCGGAGCCCCCACGACCATACTCGATCTTGGTCTGGCGTGCAGTGGAAGATTGCGTAGACATATGAACAGGGAGGAGGAAACTAACCCAATGCTTTGGAAAGGATGGAAAGCGAGAAAATGGCGGCGGAAGTGTAACGACAAACAACTCTAACGGCAAACACCAACAACTTTCTCTCTCTAAAGGTGAGAAGTAAAGGACGCGAGGTTGGTTTTTATAGTAGAGTGGGTCGAAAGAAATGGGCTGAACAGGCGTAATGATGGGCCATGATGTGGCATCTAAGAGACGAAACGGCGCAACCTATCGCTTGGGGAATCCCAAACGTCGCCACCTGTCCAACGCATCCGCGCGTGGGGCCACGCGCCAGCTACCCAGGGAACCTCTACTCTCGCATGTTTCACTGTCAATTGCCAGGGAACCTAGAGAATGGGGGGCTTGTGACGGAGGATAACCCCATGTCAGCCTAGTATTGGGCCCAGAGCTGGGCCCACATCCAGGTAAGCTGGGAGAGGGACCCCAGAGAGGGGAAGGCTCGGTCTGTGGCCTCGGCTCGATAGGGATGAGCTCGGCTTGGAAGGGACGAGCTCGACTTGGACCTCAGGCTTCTTTCTCCTCGACATGGACCAGATAACAGTGATGGGAGGATAGCGACCAGATGATAGCGATCGGGTGATAGCGACAAGGCGAAAGGGACCCGACTATGAAGACAAGGTGATGTCTACTAGGAGACAGGTATCGGTCACGGGGGTTGACTTAGTTGTACTGTTGAACCTATAAAAGGGCCAAGGCCTTCTCATTGTAAAGGATCCAAATCCAAGCTAATTATACTCCTACTTTGCACTCTCTCTCTCTCTCTAAACTTTACATATCAAGCTTACGTAACTCATTGACCCCACGGTCGAGATCTTCGGTGGTTAATTGCCATCACTTCCCACTTTTGTTTTTCATCTGTCTACAAATTATCTTCTCGTTTCTTTTTTGGTAACTTTTTTATATCAAAAAGACTTTGTCACCTTACCCTACCCACTTTTCTTCTTCCTTCCCTGCCAGTCCAGCGCCGCCACCCCTTCGGCATCCTCTTCTTCTTTCTTTTTTTCTTCATCTTTATTTTCTTCTGTCCCCCTTCTGATTTTGTCCAGCCCACTCTCATCGTCATCATCTTCTTTCTTTTTTATTCTTCTTCTTCTTTATTTTCTTCCTCCTTTCCCTTTTGTTTTTGTCTTGCCACCCATTGATTGGGAGTGAGGTGGCGGTCAGAGGTTATGGCGGAGCAGCAAGGCAGTGGTCGAAGGTGACACGGTGGTCAGGTTTGCTCCTCTCCAGACATTGCCACCATCAATTGCACAGATCTACAAATCCTCTGATGCTCCTGTGTTCGATTTGCACAAATCTTTTCTTCCGTCGCGGTTAAATTTTTAGATCAACTCTTTCAACAGGTGGGGATTGTGGAAGGGATGAAGGAAACAAGCGAAAGAGATTTCATCCACGATGGTGCCGGAGAGTTGGCGGCGGCTGTAACGGAGGATCATTGTCGTTAGTGCTAGAGAGTCGTCGGAGATGTTGGCAGGGACAGAGGATGGCTCACAGTGGTGGATGATGTTGGCAAGGACAGAGGATGGCTCATGGTGGTGGAGGAGCCCATTAAGGGTATAATAGGAAAGTCAAGACAATTTTTATCACACATTAACATGCATGCTCGGTCAAATAGAGAAGTTTATTTATGGACGGAGGCAGCATTAAAAAGTAGACGGAGAAGTAATAAAACATGTATTAAAAATGTATATTAACTAAAAATATCTAATAATATATAATATAAAATATTTTTATTTTAATTATAGTTGACCGGGTCGTTGACCACAGGTTGACTGGTTAGCCCTTGACGCACTCCCTTGCCTAGGTCGATATCCGGTTCAATTTTCAGAATATTAGTAAAAACATGTCCTATCTAAATAAAAGCAATATATTGTTATCCTGTTGCAGTAATCTTCTCTAATTTTAATGGAAAATGCTAAAGAGGCACCACGTATGCCTCCAAGCATGCTACCTAATATATAGCAATTTTATATTTTTTTTCATTTTTTTAGGCTTTTCGTCTCCCGCCGAAAGAAATTCCCAAATCTAATCTCTCTCCATTCTCCCGCTTCAACCTCCCCAAGCTCCCAATTCCCAAATTTTCCTCTTTTCTTTCCCAAATTTGGCTTGTGTTCGTCTGATTGTTGTAGAATTTCGAATCGCCGGCAAAATCCCCAACCCTCCACCTCTAGCGACCCCCTCCACCTCCAGCGACCCTCCACCTCCAGCGCCGGGAGCCCCAACCCTCCACCTATAGGGTCGACAGCCCAAACCCTCCACCTCCAGCAGCGGCAGCCCCACCCGTCCACCTCTAGCGCCGGTAGCCCCACCCTCCACCTCCCTTGTTGGCAGTCCTGCTTAAGCCCGAAACGTACTCAAGCTAATTTCCCTTTCTTTGGTCTTTGCCAATTATTTCAATTTTATTGGTGTTTTTAAATTGTGTGTTAATGTAGTTGTGGATTTGATAATAGTATGTTTGTGTAGTCTCAAATCTCCATAATGTAGTTTCATTGATTAACTTATATAAGTTTATTGTATGTGAAATATGTTTGGTTGTAAAATTTTTGCTTACTTTGTGAATTGTATGGCACAGAGATTTAAGTTCTGTTATTTGAACTTAATATAACATTATTGTCTGTGAAACAAGTCTACTTGTTATTTTTGCTTGCTTTCTTTGAATGATATGCCATAGACAATTAACTTCTGTTTATTGAACTTCATATATGATTATTGTCTGTGTGAATATTTAACTTGTGTTAATTGAACTTCATTTCAGACGATGTCTTTGTTAATCCCTGTAAGTGCTCATTCTGGAGCTCAGTACTCAGTTTGTTCTGACATCCGTGAAGCCATCAACAACATTGAGAAGAAATTGAGTCCTAGTCAATTTGAAGAATTTCACAGGACTCCAATTGGGCACTTCATGGGGCTTAAGAACCTCCAGTTTTCTGGCCAGATCATTCACCAAATGCTTTTGTTGCTTGTTGAGGATCAACCTGACGATGAATTCTGGATCCTCCAAAATGGTGAAATTGTCAAATTCACTTTCAACCTCCAGTTTTCTGGCCAGATCATTCACATTCATTGTGTCACACATTCTTAGGAGGGGAGGTTGCGAAGTGCACCTTCAAGCATGTACGAGAGAAGTATGTTACAACGGAGAATACCATGGATTCGAAGAAAATGGTTGACTTTTCCATGCTCTACTTCATTGAGTCTGTCCTTTTAGCAAAGGATAGATCTACATGCATTGAATCAACCCATTTGCATCTTGTCGAAAAGCCCAAAAAATTCAAATCTTATCCATGGGCTTGGGAGTCGTACTTACTTACTATACGACATATGAAAGGTGCAATGGATGGACAGCCCGAAAAATTTGAAAAAAAGAGCAAAGAAACCCCAAACTACAAATCCTTAAAGTACACCTTCTATGGTTTTCCATTGCCTATTTAGGTTAGTATATGAACATAATATGTATTCTAACACTTACTTAGAATATTCATTATTTTTATATTTACTTTTGTTTAAGGTGTGGGCGTATGAGTGTTTTGCGGAGTTGGTTGAAAAAAACCTTGATGTGCAAGAGGGGACTTCTTCTTGTGAAATTTTGAATTGAGCATCAAAGAAGTTTCCAAAAGCAGTGACACTTAAGGACATTTTCTTTCGTGAATTACAACAAAAGAAGGTAATATATTCGCTGACTTTTAACCTCTGTGAATTTACATTATACCTACAGTCACTGTCTGGGAATATATATGGTTTATGCTCTTGTTTATACACAGGATTCTGATGCCGACACCGTTCGAGCCATTAGAGATTTGAAGAAAAGGATGGATGGACTTGAAGTGAAGATTGATGAAATCAAGAAGTTGTTGGTGGAGGTTGTTATGAACCTGAATTCAAGTGGCCGAAGGAGAAGATATGTTAAAATTCAGAGACAGAAGAGAGCAAGGACAAAGGCTGCTGAGGAAGATGATGAGGATTTAGAAGAAGATGATGAAATCGAGGAGGCTGCTGAGGAATATGAGGAGGAGACTGGAGCTGATGAAGATCAAGAGGAGAATGCGATTGGGGAAAATGAGGATACAGAGCAAATTGAGGATGAGCACACTGCTGTTGAAAAGTCTCACAACGACAGCGACGAGGATCGTGCTGAAAAGGAGGGGACTGCTGAACATGTAATTTACACTTTGTGCATTACATGGATTACTTCTAGAAATGATGTACATCTTTTTTTTGACATGTGTCTGTGTGTGTATGGTGCAGGAACCCCAAGACAACATGACTACTACCCTTAATTCTCAAGAAGCTCTTCCAATTCCAAGTGATACACATATGTTTGAAGTGGATTCACATATGGTTGAAGTGGATGACAAGGAGGGTGACGATTTAGATGAAGAAAAGCTTCTGATGGAATTGACTCTCAACAAGGTAAAATTCCTTAAGTAGGTTCTATTTACTTTAATTTTTTTTCCTTTGCAAGAGACAATTTAATGTATTAATTACGTAGGAAAAGGTGTTGGGTAAGGGAACACATGTGATCAACGAACCTTTACAGAAGAGAAAGAGACAAAAATCAAAGTACTACTGCAGCCCTTTTACAGACCCCCGACCGCGTAAGATTGTGCGACCAACGGTAAATCCGCTCACAATTGAAATAACAGTTGAAGATTGGAACAGTCTTGAAAGTTGGATAAATGAAGAAGACAATGTCTCTCCCACGACAATTGAACTACAGTCCAAAGGTGTTGGCCATGTCAATCGAGACTTCTTCCGTGATCTTATAGAACAGGAAAAATGGCTAAGCAATGATGTAAGTAAGCTTTATTGGTTAAATTAATTTCTATATCATGACATTTAATAACTGGTTTCTGTTATATGTTAAGCACCTGGAGGCTATTATGGACAATATGATGGAAGTTCTCAATGGGATAGAGAGCAAGAACTTCACTGTTGTTGGACCAGTGTTTGTGGTAAGGCCAAATCTGGTTCTAAAATTTTGAGCGTGCTAAAGATAAGGAGATGTTCAAAAGTCTTATGTTTTTTTTGTATAGAACCACTTACTACGTATGAGTGCCGATGAATATGTGTGGTCTAAGGATAAGTTCTTAAGCAAGTTTGATTGGTCTGGCATTGAAAAGGTACTATGCTTCTTCTGAATTCCCTGAACTTAAACACATGTGAATCTTTCTTCACATACAGAAACTGTCTCTCTGCTTTGTAAATTTTTTTTGGCCTTGATGTGTAGATTTTTTTGCCCGTGAATGGAGATGGGAGGCATTGGCTTCTAGCTGAAATAGATCTCTTACGAAATCAAGTTCGAGTTTATGACTCCTTGAAAGGGCCGAAATCCTCATTCTACGTCAAAGAAGTAGTAAGAAGAATATCCCCCCTACTTCGCACGGTTAAGGGTGTGGGTGCAAACACTTTGGAGAAGGAATGGGAAACAATTGTTGTCAATGGTATTCCGCAACAGGACTCTAGGTTTGTTCGCCATTACTTCGTTATGCTACTCCCATGGACGGGTGAAAATCATACCCCCTACTTATTTTAATACTATTTTCCCTTGCATGTATGGCATATGTGGAGTGATGGTGCTTGCATATCTAGAGTGTTTGTTGGTTGGCTTACCATTAAGTCCGGACTGCAGTTCTGAACACATGGCTGATTTCCGATGTCAATTTGCAGCTAGGTTATGGCGTGGAAGGAAAACAACCAATATTTAGCTTTTTTACTTTACAATTTTAGGGATCTTTAACTTCTGTGAAACTCTTTGTAATGGTTTTTGTGCTTTGTAATGTATTTTTTGGGGAAAACACTTTAGATTTTTTTTTTGAAAGCTTTGTGATGGGGCTTAGTTTATGACTGAATTGTAGATTTACTTTCAGAGCCCTCACAGAGAATAATTGTCTACTTTACCTTTTACACAGAGCTTCAACGTATGTGACAGAGTTACATAACGTTATGCACTTAAGATTTTTTTGAAAGCTTTGTAATGGGGCTTTCATCACAATGAATTTCTACTTGTTAATGCACAATCTGTTACTGTGTGTGATGAATGATTTACCTTAGTTTATGGCTGAATTATAGATTTACTTTCAGATCCCTCCCAGAGATTAACTGTCGATTTTACCCATTACACAGAGCTTTAAATTATGTGACGACAGAGTTACTTAACGTATGTGGGGGTCTTGTATAGCTAAAAACAAAGTTAAAACGCATACAAAAGATTTCTTAGTGCTCACATGGAATAACTGTCTATGTCATACACTTCACAGAGACTTAATGTATGTGAAGACAGAGTTACATCAGGTTTACATCAGTTTATGTGCAGGGAACTCAGAGAAAGTTATCATACTTGTTACATACTTTACACAAAAAGCAAAAAGCAAAAAGGTATGTGATTTACAGTTCCCATGCTCATTCCAAAAAATCAGATGACGCAGTTACTCTTGCTTCACATCCCAATTGCATTGTCGGCCTCGGGTGGAACACATCTTGTGTTTTGCTCTTTTTTTTCCTTGTTGACTGCACACAAATGTAACACTTCTAGGAGTTCCATCTTTAGCTTTGCGAGTTGTCCTCGTCCGCATTGGAAATCCTACACTTCGAGCATAAGCCAGATAGTGTTCTCGAATTTCTCCAATGCTTGTAAACTTCATCCCCACTTCAGGCACGCTACCTTTGTTTCTTTTAGAAGGGCATTGACCATTGTTCCGGACATCATTGTTAATGTCATCTGTGTTCTGTGGAATCTCACCACTCGCCTGTTCTTGCCCTTCGTCGTTAAATAAATACTGAAAGCAAGGATCGTTTAGAAACAAATCTGGTTCAACAGCAGCAAAAAACAGTACCTTTAATATAATAAAATACCTGACTATGAAGAAAACAATAATACACCAAATGCAGAGTGCATACAGATAATTAGCGTCTGTGACAAGGAAAAACCCTAGATTCATAGAACTTTAATCTCTGTAACACGAAAACAAAACAGTTTTTTTTCACTACTTCAAATGAATATAGAATGGGGTATAAATATCAACACTTACTGCTGGGCTGCAACTCATATAAAACCAGGTCTTCTTCTTCACCACCAAAATCATGTGGTTGCTCATTCTCAACATGTGTAACAATAGATGTTTGTAAGTCCATAATCACCAAATATCCTATGTACTCTACAAAAATTCAAAAAATTATTGCCATAGAAATTGACTAAAAGTGGAATGAAGAGAAGAGATTGACAGAGGAATTGTCGTGCTACACGGGTTGGCGCATCAGAGATATGAAGAGGAAGATAGGACAAAAAAGAGATTACCTGCCGCCTTGTAAGAAGGAGAGCGCAGAAAAGGGAGAAGGGAGCGGGTCGCTGCCGCGGAAGAGCAGAGCCAGAGCGACGTTGAGGAAAGGAAAAAAAAGAAGGAGAAAAGGTTAAAAACACCTTATATAGGGAGGCAACAAAGGAGGCATGGGTGAGTGCACTATAGCACGGTCCAATTTTAATATCATTTGAATAAGAATTTAAAATTTCAATAATGCTATTTATACACCATTTGATATGACACAAACTTTTACTAGCACTTTGATGATTAACACTTGCATAAAATGTCAGTGTGAATATTTTGCACTTACGTTTTATGCTAGTGTGAACCATCAAAATACTGGTGTAAAATTGTGGCATACAAAATGGTGTACACCAAGTACATCTAGCATGGTTCTCAAAATATTTTAGGGCATTCTTATACTCCGTATGAAATACTTCCTTCGCCTTAGAATATTTGCATGGTTTAATTTTTTACTTTAACAAATCATCTTAAATTGAAGTATAACATAGAGAAAACATGAAAATAGAAACTCTCCCTTTTTATTTCTAAAATAAGAGTTTACATTGTGATAATATGACATGTATTTGAACATTTCACAATACTTTTTTATATTATATATTGACATGATTGATATTGTATATGTATTTTAACTCTTATTTTGGTAATACAAACATGAAATTCCTATTTTGGTTTATTCTCTATGTTTTACTTCCACACAATATTTTGAATTTTTTTACAAAGTAAATCTTATTAAAAAAAATTTGTGTCAATTTCTAATATCAATTTTGTTTAATTAGTCTAATTTTTTCAATTTTAACTTCATAAAATTAAAATTGGACAAACGAATATAAAGATTTCAAATATATCAAACACGCGCCTTTTTTCATTTCCTTGCCCGTTTAGTCAATCATCAACAAAAAGAAAACAGTCCTACGCTGCTATAATGGGTGGTGGAGAAGAGAGTGGAGAACTGGGTGGGTGTACCCCTAGCATTTTTCCGCCATAATACATCGTGTGTTGTATTTGTATTCCTATTATGTTCGAATTGGAATCAAATAGTTCGCCCACTAATCAAATACAAATACTCCCTCCGTCCCAAAAAACATTTCTCCTTTTTTTTCATCCGTCCCAAAAAACACTTCTCATTTCTATTAAAAAGTCACTTTTACCCCTTACTTTTTCATACCTTACCTATCACATCATACCTTTTTACTAATAATCTATCCATCAAATGATACTTTTACTCATCACATCAAAGGACATTTTTGGAAATTCAATACCAAATACACTCCCCTTAAATTCCTCTACAAAACCAAAACTCCTGTGTTTTCCGGGATGGAGGGAGTACTATTTAAAAGATACGAATAACATATGAATGGTTAACCAAGTTTTCAAATGCAAAATATAATACTCAATATTCGATTCCATTTGCCTAACCCCGTGACCAATAGATATACAAGCCAAGAAAGAAGCAAGATCAGCTATGAAAATCAAGAAACAAATGAGGAAATATTGATGAGAGATAGAATATGTGCCATCACCTATCCATACTACAAATTCAAAGGTGTGGGCACTTGAGATTAAAGCTTCATTTACCTCTCTTCTCAGGTAACTGTCTGTAAAGGACCCTTGGATGGAGTTCGCCCTTTCTTTTTACGAATTCAAAGGTCATAATCTATGTCTGAAGTATTGGGAGCATCCGAACGTTTGATCAGTCGCCCTTGCTCGTCGTAGAAATCAAGATCCTGACAAGGCGCAGGAAAGATCGTGCCTATAATGCGTCCTTCAACAAAAGAGCACTGAAATATGTGTTTCTTCTTATAAGTTGTCCCAATCGACACGTCACGGAAAGTTACGTTCCTCACGGGAATGTCTTCGCTTCCGTGAATGCGGACGGGGACTCGTACTCCCTCCCCGTGTATGGACGTGTAACTTATGTCCTTAATAACAGGCATGGCTTTGGGATTGAACTCTCCGTTTGGATGTTCGTTGTAATCGGTCTTGATGATAATCCCCGCCCGAACATTTTCCAGCGTCACATTGTGAAACGATATGTGTTGAACGTGTCCTCCTCTTCCCGGTGCTGTCTTTATCCTAAGCGCACGCCTCGAGTTCCACACACGAAGGTTCTCAACGGTCACGTTAGATACCCCACCCGACATCTCACTTCCTATTGATATGCCTGCACTGCCATTATTTACGACACTTAAAAGTTAGGTCTTGTCAAGAACAACCTTAACTAAAAACTCAAGCTTGTCAACAAAAAAAGGCTGGAGGCCAGCCTCCTCACCTGACCATGGATTGAACCACTACGTTTCTTACGAGTATATTTTTGGATGGGCGTCCATAAGCTATACCATACTGATCCCAACCACTCTTTATTGCAATGGCGTCATCGCCCACACTTATGTAACAGTTTTCAATCAACACATCTTCACATGAATCTGTTTAGCCAAAACAATCATCAGACCATGAGCTCATACCTGGCAAGCGAAACACACACACACATATATACACTCACCAGGATCAATGCCATCAGTGTTGGGAGCCTTAAACATTGGAGCGAGAATAGTCACATCGCTGATGGTAACATTTTTGCAGTCGAACGGATGAAGGGTCCAAAAGGGAGAATCGCGCAACGTGACATTGTGGATGAGAATGTCACTAGACCACATAATCTGGACAAGAGGTCCTCTGGTGTGGTTGAGGCGTCTCTGCAGATACTTGCTCCACCACCTTTGGCCCTGCCCACTTATGGTGCCATTATGACCTGTTATTACCACATCTTTGAGATTCTGGCCATGGATTAGACTGCCATAGCGTGGTCCGGGGTGTTCCCTACCATGTCCATATGAAGGCAATGGGGGCATCAGTGGCCAGTACTTCTCATCCTATATGTGTGATTACATAACCCAAAAAAAAAAAGAGTACAAAATTCCCTTAAATGTTCTTAATTAGATGTTGAAAAGTAATCTGAATTACATAAAGTTCAGTAGATACTTACATCAAGGCCAAGAATAACAGAACCCTCGGCAAGGAAGAGAGTCATATGGCTGGTGAGGTTGAAAGGAGCCGTAAGCCAAAACCCAGGAGGCACATTCAGCTGCCCGCCGCCCTTGTTTCGGAGCTTCGAGATTGCCAAGACGGCGCTCTCAAACGCCGCCGTATTGACAGTGACCCCATCCCCGACCCCTCCGAAATCCGTCAAATTAAATGTCACCGGGCGGAGCCTGGGCGGTTCTCGGGACGGGAAAAACCTCCTGTGAGAGAAAAGTCCGCCGGCTGCGTCCTTCTGCCAGAGAAAGACGGAGGAGAAGAAGAAGGCGCCGATCCAAATCGCGGACAGGAGAGTCTTGTGGGTGGAGATCCAGCGGTGGGAGCGCCGCGATTGCGATACCGTCTGAATCTCCGCCATTGTTACCGGACCGAGGAGATGCCAGAAATGGGTGGTTTTGTGGAAGACCGCATCGATGGGTAAAAATGGAAGTTGGGGTGGTCGATGGAAGGTGATGTGTTGTGATCGGTATGGTTAGGGAGATGGCGACGGGGGAAGAGAGGGGACGACTAAGAGTTCATTCCAAGGAAGAAGAAATGCAGAGAGCGAGTCGGTAACTGTGAATGCTGAATGGTTCCAACTTCCAAACTCATTTTTGTTCCAACTACCAATCTTGCCTCCACCCACTTCTCCACCACATATTTATTTCTATTCATTCTCCACTCACTCTTTAATTTTAATTTTTTTGTCTTCTTACCACATGTTTATGTAAGGGACATGGTTGGTAGAAGGGTGGGGTTTTTAGCATTTTCCTAATTTTTTTGATTGTTCAATCCTCTTGGTTCAAGTTATCGAACGGGTGGTCCACGCATTTTGAAAATTATATATATATATATATATATATATATATATATATATATATATATGTATATATATATATATATATATATATAATATTTCAGACTCATTAGAGCTTAATGCCTACGTGGAAGTTTTTTGACACATCAATGCTGACTATATGCATTAATTAAATAATTTAATGGCCTGTTTGGGAACCTGAATTTGGATTTCAAATCCGGATTTGGCTCAAATTCCTTGTTTGGCAACCCAAAGAATTTGAATTTGGATTTAAATCAAATTCCTCTCATTAATAACCAATCCAATTACAAATTCGTACCCAAACCCATGTCATTTCAATTCCCTGGCCCAGTTAAAATTAAGTGTCTAGATTCATTCTCGTCCATAGCCTCCACTAGTCCAGTTTGCGTCTTTCATCTCCGATCGAGATCCCGTCCAAGCTGAGTATTCGAGCGGCTAGGTCTGAATCGCGTTCATCCCTCTGTCTTCCAAAAACTCCGATCCAGGTATCTCTAGAAACCATTTTTTAAACCCTAGCAATGGTTTCCTTGAAGTCCAAGGTTGAGGATGATGAATGAATGTGAATTGTTGACTTACTTCTTCTGTGTACGTGCATCGATTTGTGTTTGATTTTTTTTCGATTCACAAAATCAGATTTTTCCGATGGTTTTGAATCTGGTTTCATGATTTAGACCAAACCGTTGCAGTGGAGGTAGTCCAGACTGTCGGATATTACTTGTACTTCTGTGATAAACCTGATCAGTGAAACTAGTGCATGAAGTGGAACGAATATCTTCATCCCTATTTGTAATCTGTGGATTAGTTCTCTCAATGGAATGAGAGACTTGGCTTGTTTTTGAAAAAGATCAGCATTAGGCTTTTGTGAAGATGAAGCTTTAAAACCAGCCTTTGTGATGCCCACACCCACAGCTGTTTTTGCCACTGAAGTTTCAGACTTAGCAGGGTTCAGGTAACAGCAAATGTCCATATTAAACAAGAGTTAGGGAATGGTCTGAGTAGCGGGGCTTCCATCTCATTCAAGAATTGAAAAAATCTAGTACTTCAACCAACAATTCCTCACCATTTTCTGATCTAAGCTTAGCAAGATAAAATCTAAAACCTTACCTATTGCAACCCTCTGGAACAAAAACCCAAGTAGAGACTTACTGTGTAATATTTGAGTCTGTCAAAGCATGTGTGAAGTCTGAGATTATTTAGGTACATGGCAGCATGCTATTTCTTTACTACGCCACTGTGTAATAGGATGTTAGAAGTTTGTTTTGGTTTTTGATCTTTGTAGCATATCAACATAGGCTAGGCATTATGTGTTGTTCTTTGATCCTATCATTTAGGGAGAATGACAACAAAGTCTTGGAGGATTACTTTTTTAAATTTTGTTCTTTAATCAGAATTAGTGTTTACAGTGCATGTATTTTTTTCTACTTGATAAAAAGAAAGTGTTTTTATTACAGTGCATGTATTTTTTTGTCTTAGCTAACCCATATGAAAACCATACCTTGTGATCAAATTTGGGGTTTACTCGGGGTATTTACTTTGTGGCAAGTCTGGGTTGCTTTGTTACTACCCATTATGTTGTACGGAGTATATACAGTTCTGTGCTTTTACAGAGTAGCCAAAACTTATACTCCCTATAATATGGCATTATGTCCTCTGTGTTTCCTTTTTTGGGTTTTAGCACAATGGGTATATGATTACACTCCAAC